GCGCGCCCCAAGGCACCGCGCGCGGAGCAGACGTGCACCATCTGCCTCGCCGACGTCGGCGACGGCATGCGCCTCCCCTGCGCGCACGAGTTCCACGAGGCGTGCGTGACGCAGTGGCTCAGGAAGGGCGGCGCCGCGTGCCCGTGCTGCAAGTACGACCTCCGCGCAGAGGTGCGCGAGCTCAGGGAGAAGGCCGTGCGCGACTCTGTCAGGCGTGAGGAGCGCGCGAGCGGCGCGGGAGCGGACGAAGCGGAGGGCGAGGTGGAGGGGGAGGCGGCTTCGTGGGCTTCGTGGGGCAGCTACGTGTGGGGGTGGGCGTGGTGGGCGAGGGATGAGGGCGAGGTGACGGAGTCGGAGATGTCTGTCGAATACGGCGAGGGGGAGCGGGGAGGTGTACCACCTTAGCACCTTAGCGCGCGGGGGGTTTTAGAGATCTGTCGAATAGCTTTTTTTCGATTCTGAGTTTGGAGCAGGGGGAGCGAGCCGCGGCGCGGGGAAGAGCGGGCGCGTTGGGACGGATCCATGCTGGGACGGGTTGATGGTGTTAGGAAGTTGCGCAAAGCTAAACGAGAAGAGAGATCCGTTTCCGTATGCTTGCCGTGACGGGAGAAGGCTAACCGGAGCGTTGCACCACCAGGGGTTTCGAAAGGAGGCCAGTCGAGCTCGGAGCGGAGGCGGCGGCGATCTGAGATGGGGGGGGGAAGGCAATTGCTGACACGGCCGCGTTGGATGCGCCCACCCGCATCTTCGAGGCACAGGGCAGGACAGCGCATTGCTGCGGGTGACGCAGCAATGCTTTGCGCTGCCGACATGTGCGCGTGGCCTGACGCGGCCCTCCCGCCGGCCCTCCCCTCTCACCATGGCCATGGAAAGGCAGCTCGGCCCAGGGGCAGAGCGCCAAGGGCAGGGCCAAAGGCAGGGCCAAGGAAAGCGTCTACCGCTTGCATCGTCGTTGTCACATCAAAACCGCCCTGCATTGCTGCCCTCACGGACATGCCCCCGCGGCATACAGTGTAACATTACTGAACACACCGCCACCTGTTCCTGGGTGGGACCACCTGTTCCGACCCGTCACCTGTATTCGAGGGCCTCCTCACCCGGCACGCGCCTCCAGCCCGGCCGCGCGCGCAAACTCCTCGCACCTGCTCGTCGCGTCCTCGCCGATCCATCGTGCGCGCGCGCACTCGACGCGGCCTCCGCGCCGGACGAGCATCCAGAGCCAGCGGGCGACCTCGTACCTGACGCCCCTCCTGACGAGCCAGTACGTGAGCGCGACCTCGCTATTGACGGCGCCGGTCCCCTGCGGCATTTCCCACAGCGCGCACTCCGCGAACGCCTCGTCCGCGCGCAGCACGACCCCGGCCACGCCGCGCGCCGCCGCGAGCACGTGGTCGCCGACGGGCGTGTGCAGCACGCGCGCGGCCGCGCGCCCGAAGCGCCGCCGCAGGAAGCCGTGCGCGTGCGCAGACGTGCCCGGGTTGTGCACGTTGAC